AGAAAGGTCATAATTCTTCAAATTGCTATATTAGAAAGAATTTTAACAATCTCAAGAATTTGGTGTGGATTCCAAAAGGTTCTTCTGTTAATACTAACATTAAGGACCCAAAGAAAACTTGGGTACCTAAATCAATCATTTCTTTGTCTTGAAGGATTCCAGCAACCAAACTTGGTACATTGATAGTGGATGTTCCAAGCACATGACAGGAGATGCTTCAAAATTTATTGACTTCACTCCTAAGAGAAGTGAACATGTAACCTATAGAGACAACAATAGAGGAAAAATACTTGCCATTGGAAAAATTGGTATCAGAGCCAAGGTCATGAGTTCGATACCCAGCGGGGCAATTGCTGAGGGGGAGATTGTTGCGGGTTGCATCAATTGTCCCGTGGCGGAGGCTAGGTGGGCCAAGTCACTGTCGAATCATGGCGCTTTGGCTGCTGCGCTCTTAAGTAAAAAGAGTTGTGCCCTGACTATCAGCTATAGCTTTTAGTCTAGTGGTAAGCGCTCGATCCAACAACATTAAAATACACATGGATGGACACAAACTACAATTTATCATGCATGTGGCGCCAGTAAAACATCACATGGCATATTATCGCTAGCAATACACGAAGAGTAGTCTAGGAGTACATGCCGGGTCACACCCTCTGCTCACTCTCACTAGAAGGACATACTACCAGAGTCTCGTCGGGATAGCTAAGCCGCGCAAGATACATCTCATGCCCACAATGGGCGAGACTAGGACTTCCAAACCGAGCTATCTCCAAGGACTAATCCCCAAAGCTTTTACACTTGGGGCCTTCTTTGGCGGTGTATTCCATATCGTACCCTTAAAAACATTTATGCACATGATGCATGTCAATCAAGACTCTATGCATTCTCATATCACGTTATTATCATCACATCTCATCATCACATTTCATCCTCATATTCCATCATCATATTTCATCATCATATTCACAATATCACATTATCACATTATATTCACAATTCTCACAAAGCACTCTAATTCATATAAAAACATATTCATTTTCAAAATTAACCACATACTCATGCATCACATCCAACAAGGAACACAACAAAGCAATCAGAAGGCAAAATAGAAAATATTCATATTTTGTCCATTTTCTCATACAGTTTTCCGTAGGAACCCACAGAACACTCAAATCATACAATTATAATTTTAAAACTGAAATCAATGATTCATTCAAGCAATTTATACGATTAATTACATACAAGAGGAACAATAGATAAAACAGATACAATTGGGGAAAATCCCTCATACATGAGCATACAACAAACACATGATTGGAGGTCAATCCCACTACCCAACATACATTCTCACACCCAGAGTAAGGTTTCTCACTCCCCCCTTACCTGGATGAGCAGAAGATGAATGGTCTTGATGTGATCTAAGATCATTCCTGAGTATTCTTTCTTAGAACTCTTTGTTTTTCCTCTTTTTTTTTTCCTAACCCTTCAGAACGCAAATGAGGCAGATAGGGTTAACGCTACCTAACTCCTTTCTTAAAGTTAATCCATTGGACTGGGTCAACCCAACCCATTTTCCTTCTCTTCTAACCCACTTCTCTTTTTCCTCAAAATAATTAAATAAAATAAATACATGTATATTATAAAATATTTTTTCTCTATAATAATAATATAATTTTGACCCAAAATATAATAATATAATTTTAATAACAAAATATCATATAAAATCAACCTTCTCTTAAAACATATAAATATTTATTTAAAAATGCTAATAAAAATACTTATTTAATACGTACAAAATAATTGTCCAAAACAATAATTATTTAAAACGTACAAAATAATATTCCTTTATAATTATTAAAATAATTATGACCAAATGCCATATAATAATAATAGTAATAATAATAATAATAATAATAATAATAATCTTTTTGAAAACTGGGGTGTTACAGATCTCGTTACCCCACAGGTAACCCACACCCTGAAGTGAGGTTTTTTGTCCCCCCTTACCTTAATGATTGCCAAACTCCATATGCAAATCTTTGAGGTCGTCTTCGATTGCCTTTGATTCTCCCTTCTCTTTAGATCACAAGAGCATGTGTTAATTATGAGATGTAAGCCTAGTCTTACTAATCTATATATAAGGAATACTAAAACCCTAACTCATGGATAGTTCATCGGTAAAAGCTTATTAACCCACAATTAATTACTCCCCTTTTTAAAATTAAAAGATAATCCATGATAATTATTTTCAAAATATTCCTTTTTATCAATAACACTCACAACTCCAATTAATTAATTAATTAAAATTTATTTATTAATTTATTTTAAAAATTTGGGATGTTACAGGTGGCAAAGAATGTTGAATGGAGCTCAATGAGGCTACTAGCCATTTTTAGTTAGGAAATGAACCAAGACATAATACGTATGTTGGATCTTTGATTGAAGGAGGCAATTGAAGTCGAACTAAAAAATCATTAAAAGATTTGATAAAAAGTGAAATAGAATATTTGATAGCTAGTCTTTAGTTAACTAAATAAATGGGAGCAAAAAAGGTGATGTGCTATACAAATTCGCAAGTTACAATTGAACAAGTCAATGAGTTATTTCAAATAAGAGAACCACATTTGTTGATCTATTATCATCTTTTTCAAAGAATGAAAGAGAGTTTTGATGATTTACAAGTCCAACATACTCCTTTAAATAATAATAACAAGAAGGTTGATTAGTTAGCCCGAGTAGCAAGTAGCCAAAAAACAGGACAATGACAAACATTGATACAACAAGAGTTGTAAACATCAATATAACTATAAATGAGTAGATGCAATTGATACATCAATAAAGGATTGATGAATGATGTCTTACTCTATATTCTAAAAAGGTATTACCCAAGGACCTAGTACATGATAAAAGAATAAGATCACAATTAGCAACATGTGTGGTAATAGCTGAAGAAAAGGGGATTCTTGACCTTATTGCTAAAATGTTTAAACTTGGAGTAGACAGATTATGTGTTGAGAGCAATACATGAGGGTATTTGTGGTATGCATTTGGGAGTAGGATCAATGGCCACAAGGGTGTTAAGGGTTATTTATTATTGGTCGACACTAAAAATTGATTGTGAGGTATTTGTAAAAAAATATGTTTAGTGTCAACAAATGGGAATTTGATTCGAAAATCAATCGAGGAATTACATAGCATTTCATCTACATAGTCGTTTGCATTAAGGGGTAAGGATATACTAGCCCTTTTTCCTATGGCTAAAGGAAAAGTAAAATTTATACTCATGGCAATTGATTTCTTTATAAAATGGATTGCATCTCAGCACAAAATGTACAAAAAATCTTATTGAAAAATATCATTACCCACTTTGGTATCCCTTATGTTATTATTACCAATAATAGACTTTAGTTCACAGATAAAAAGTTAAATGGATTTATGGAAAGTTTGAGGGTCAAGCACAGGGTGACCTTGGTTGAGCATCCACAATTAAATGGACAAGTTGAATCAATAAACAAAGTGACTTAAATAGATTTGAAAAAATGTTTGGGCTTGATTAAGTGCGCTTGGGCCGATTAGTTACCAAAAGTTTTGTGGGTGTACAAATGCACTCCTTAGTCTACTACACAAGAAACACCCTTTAGGATGACTTATAGTAATGATGCAATGTTATCAGTTAATGTTAGAGAACTCTCTTTTTGGTGGATTAATTTTCAAGAAGGTCAAAACGATGAAGAATTACAAGTTGAACTTGACTTGATAGAAGAAAATAGAGTAAAGACATTGATTGTTATCGAGGCATGTAAAAAAAAGAAAAAAAGATTCAATTCAAGCATAATACCTAGGGAAATTCACAAATAAGACTTGGTATGAAAGGCGATAAAAGAAGCAAAATGTGATGCAAATGAGAGAAAGTTGTCGACTAATTGGGATGGTACTTTTAGGGTTCATCAAAATCTTTAGAATGAAGCTTACAAGTTAGAAGAGTTAAATGTAAAAATCATTTTGACGACTTGGAACTCTACACATTTAAAAATGTATGACAACTGAAATTCTTGTATGGGTGGTGTACTTTTTTCCTCACTTTATTTTTTATTCCTATAAAAACGTGAAAGGGTTTTTACCAATAAGGTTTGTTAATGAAGTACCCTTGAAATGAATAATAATAAGAGGATTTTCAGTTGTACAAGTTCTGGTATCTTTAATTAATTCTTTCATCTTAGCAAAATTAAGGTTTCTCTCCCAAGAACATACTCGACTAAGGACGTGCCTTCAAGCAATACATTTTCTTAATAAAATTAAGGCTTTCCTCCCAAGAACATACTTAGCTAAGGACATGCCTTCAAATGATACACTTGCTTAATAAAGTTAAGGATTCCCATACTTGATTAATAAAATTAAGGCTTCCCGTCCAAAGAAACACCTGGCTAAGGACACGCCTTCAAGTGAAATAATCGATTAATTAAATTAAAACTTCCTTCACAAGGAAACACTCGATCAAGATACGTATTCAAGTTTAGTCAATAAGGGTAAAGTTTCCTTTCGAGAACACATTCGGCTAAAGACGTGCCTTTAAATAACCCTTTTATTTAAATAAAAGATAAGTTTTTCATCCCAAAGGTGTACTCGATCATAGGTTTTAACTTAGATAAATTTAAAGGTTTTTGCCTATAACTATGACTATTCGATCATAAGTTTTAACTTAAAAAAATTGAAGGTTTTTGCCTACGATTATGACTATTCGATCATGAGTTTTAATTTGTAAAAATTTAAAGGTTTTTTCCTATGACTATGACTATGACTATTAAGTTAGGAGTTTTAACTCAGAAAAATTTTAAGATTTTTCAGCTGGCTATTACTACTTGGTCACAAGTTTTAACTTAGAAAAAATTTAGGACTTGAGAAACATAAATTCATAATGTTTGAACACTTCATTAAGGCATCAAAAAAGTACATCAAATTAAAGGCATCATCAGCCAAAGAAACAAAAACAATACAAGAGATCAAGGAAAAGAAGAAGCCCTATGGCCTTCAACATCTTCTTCCTTTTCATTTGGCTCTTCGTTAATAGGGGACTTCTGGTGAGGAGAAGGAGCAACATCCTTGGTATTAGCCTCATCAAGAATATCATCCAAGTTAAGAAATTGACCCTTATAAAGATCTTTCCTTAGGTTAAATTGGAAGCTCAAAGGAACTTCAATGAAATGTAATGCTTGACGAACCACATGCTTGAAACCTTCTTTGTGCTCATTGTATATTTGTGTCTCAACATTGTTTGGTAGGCTGCATGCACAAAAAGTGCCTTATCCCTTTTAGCAGTTACCAACTTAAGCTACCCCTTGGAAACTTTGAGCTCCTCAACCAACTTGGTCTTAACATCATTTGATTCCTTTAGTTGTTTTTTCAAGCTATCGATCAAGTCTTGAAGCCTTCTTCAATTAGCTTCAATTTTTTCGTTGTGGGTTTGAATTTCTTGATTGGTAGAGATGGCGACAATAAGGTCAGTTCTCGACTCCTTCAACTTTAAATGTATCTTGTCGATCTCCTCTATGGGTTCCATGAATAAAGTCTGAGAAGTCCCAAGAGATCGACCCATCAACTCACATATAATGTACCATTTGGTCATGGAATTCTCTTAAGAGAGAAATTCACGACCTTGGGCCAACAATGTCTCAGTCAAAGGACTCTTGAGTATTGACATTAGAAGAAAGAAAAGTATTTATAGCAACCGAAGAGGGTATAAAGTGAGTCTTCATATAATAAGGCATTTTATTTTTATGTTTTCTTTCTTTATCCCCCTCGATTTCAACATGTTCAGTAACTTTGCCTTTTGGGGTCTTCTTTTCATGAGGAACCTCCCCCTTGTGTTTTTCTCTAATGGTGAGGGCAATGTATAAGTTGGAGGATCCTAAGAAGTAGTCGACAAAGCTAAAGGGTTCTCAGTAATAGCAATAGTAGTAGAGGTAGTCTCGATATGAGCACATTCTTTATGAACTTGGCAAAACAAGGCAACCTTTGCACCAGATGAAGGCATAATACTTACCTGGACAAAAAAGTCAAAAATCAAAATAATATACTAACAAAAATTTAATAACAAAGTTTACCTTCAATATCTCTAATGGGCTTGAGGGATTTACATAATTCAATCAAGTGCCTACAAGGATGGTTGTGAGGCAAGGTATTCAAGAAAGCTAAATATGAACTCTCCTTGGGAGTTTAATAATCAATTAGAAGCTCATCCTATTATCTCAAAAATGCAAGTCTAATATAGAGGAAAGAGAGGTTTGTCTTGGCTATTAATTTTGATTTTGAAAAAAACAACTTTAAAATTCTTGTAATAAAAATGAAAGGTTTCTAGAGCTTTCAATTAGGGCGTTGAGCTATAGACACCTGCTTAGCCTTATCATTAGGGAGACAATAGTTGTGGTGTAGAAACAAGTTAGATGTAAGTTTGACATGGGTACATTTACATAAATACTAAGAAGCTTGCAAGGTTGCCCAACTATTTGGGTAAAGTTGGGTAGGAACAACCATTCAACACTCTTAGTACATTAGTCATGAAAAGATTAAAAGGGATAGTAACACTGAGGTCTTTCAAAAGGTAGTTGTAGATAAAGAAAAATGGGTTTTTATCTTGAGGTGTTTTTTTCTACAAAAACATAGTTTAGTTTAGAAGATACATCGATCTTACAATACCTATACCTATATATATATATATATATATATATATATATATACTAC